CTAACCTTTTATGGAGTATAATGCTATGTTCACACCTAACGGGCTTTGAGCAGCAAAAAGCGCCTGCTGCTTAATTTTTGAGGCTTGTACACATAAAGGTCAGACGCACCTTAAAAGCATCTTTGTTGCTCCTGAAGCGCGTCCAATAAAGTGTGTCCAGATGCATCTAATGCTTCCGGTGCTTTCGTTTTCAATGCCAGAGAGTGGCTTTGCTATATTTGCTGTGATCAGCTGGTAAAAAGTAGTTTTAACATATTTTTAAGTGAGTCCACCTGAAAACATGGTCTGTGCAGTCAGTTAATTAAGATTACAATCCTGCCTCCAAATATTATCTTGCTGTCGGAGCAGCACAAACCCCCGTGCACCAGTGATGTGCTGTCAGCAACAGCTGCCTCTCAGCCGGTCGCCTTTTGGGGGGTTCCCAATACTGTTTGTGGTGCTGGAAGTAGATTATTTGCATTTTTCATTATTTAGTACAAACAGCTGCTCCTTGTGAACTGTGTCATGCAGCTCAGATGCTCAGAAGCTTCATCTGTTCAGATGCATCTGTAGCTGCTTCTGCTGCCTTAATTGGTGTGAACGTAGCATTACGGCCAGACTAAGACCTTTTTTTTGAGAATAAATTCTTAATATTAAAAGAAATAAAGTCACAATGTTATAAAAAAAATAATAAGGATCAGATAACTAGGATAATGTTATTAAAGTAAAGTTGTTATATTATGAGACAAAAGTTGTATTAAGTGGGAAAAAGTTTTGTGGCTCAACCAAACTGCAGCCCATGCCTGAAACTAGTATTTAAACACAGAAGGAGGAAGGGTGCTCTTTTATGCTTATATAACAGTAGGACTCTGCTTTAATCCTATAGAGTTAGGACTAGGGCTGAAAGAGTTATTCATGGCTAATCGATTATTGAAATAATCATCAACTAATCTAGTAATCGATTCATCGTTAACTAGAATGTAGTCTCTAAAATATGTCTTTATCTGACAGAGCAACCCACTTAGAGCAGTAATTATACCAAGATTGTAAAAAATATATATGAACATTTTGCATTTAAGACAAAAAAGGAAAATGTGTGTCAAAATGCTCCATCTAGAACTCCTCAACTGGAAAAGTTTCGGTTTCACCTGGTTTAATTTGTTCAAAAGTCCTCCTTAAGGAACCTTTTGATATCCGGTTATTAATTGATAATAGATTTGCAAAATAACCTTTAGTTGCAGCCCTAGTTAGGACTTTATTGTCATAAAACTACAGCTTTCACTGGTTAATCTTTCACTGCTACGATGTACTTATTTTACAACTTTTCTTTTTTGTAATATTAAGACTTTATTCCTATACTGCTACAATTTTTTTTTTTAGTGTAACAACTTTTTAATCTTAATGGTTTAATTTTTTTTACAGTGTTGCAATGTTACTCTCTTACTATTATGAATTAATTCCTGTAAAGTTAGTTTAATTCCATTTACCTGACATTATTTTTGGAATATGACAACTTTGCTGTAGACATTACATTAATAGATTAACTTTGTCTTACTATGCATTTTTTTTTTCATTATATTAAGACCCGCTCTTACTAAGTTTGTTCACAGATTTATAAAAAAATAACGTTATCTACTTAACATGATGAAATCAAACCCTGAAATTAACATAAAACACCTGATTGTTTTACATTGTAAGCATGTGTCTTGACATATTATTAAGAAAAATATGCACAGAATAGTAATGGCAACCTTTTTTGTATTCTGTTGAAAATGTTTGAATGTTTAAAGTCATTAGCTGTCAGATGGGTGATGAGAAGAAAAATGGTCTTAACAGAAAGATGCTAAAACTTGCAAGAAATATGCAGAAAGGTGAAGAGAATAAAGACCATGGAAATGTGCACAAAGCATATGAAATTAGAAACCAGGGGCATCTTGTACATATTTCAAGGAGAAAATAATAAGACCTACGACAGCTAGGAAAATACCAAAGACACGTTTTATGAGGGAAATGAGCAGCTGCTGACTAGAGTTAAGCTTTTTTAGCTTCAGGAAAAGGGTACCTAAGAATCCTTGTCCTAATCTGGATTGAACAATGTTTTTTCTTCACCTCTTTTCTAGATATTTTGGTATTCCCATGGAGATCTTGCCCAGAGTGAGGAGCTCCTCAGAAATATATGGTCTAATGGTAAGCTTGGAGATGCTACTTTATTCCTATAATTTGATCCTAATTTTGATGCTAGTGTGAAATAATATAACAAAACATTTATTTTGATTTAACATGTATTGTAGAGTGTTTTCAGGCTGTTTTTAAGTGCATGAAGGTTGACCCAGAAATTCCTTTAGGCATTTTTGTGTGCCATTGTCTCTCTCTTTTCTCACTGGTAGAAAATAAGTTCTTGCTGGGTAAGTTATAACTCATCATCATTCTACTCACCACATAAAGTCAATGGTTTTCCTATTCCATCACCAGCATATAGATATAACGTTCCCAAAATAAATGCATCTCCAAGCCTAGAAAAGAATATTATTAATTTTACTTAAAGAAAAGTGGGATCAAAGGTTCTATGTCATCCAAAGCCTACCAAAGACTTATAAGACAAAAGTTTTACAAAATCAAAATACCAATTTCTATAAATATATTTCATATTCATTGTTTTATGTCAGTCTGTATTTATATTAAGAAATGAAGCCATATTAGCTACAAGTTGGTTTGACTCTGAACTTGCATTTTACTTTAACATAGTAAACCATAATTGTTGAATTAAATCAAGTCTAAGTCCTAAGATATAAAAAAAAAAAAAGTCTTGTTTGCTTGTTATATTATGGAAACCTAATAACCTTGTTATATAATGGAAATGAATCAAAGTGAATGTAAAACAATGGATTTAAAATTAATAATTCAATTTCAGTTTGTTGAATCTTATTAATTGAGAACTTGCGCCTAAAATCCCTATCTTTTGGTGATGTAATGTTCCCGCCGTCCAGCAGGTGGCATGTTCGTTCCACATGCCTTGCTGCTACCAGTAAGAGAAGTAATGCCGAGCAGCGCACTGCTAGAGCAGAGATATAATCCAATGGGGTGTTACATCTTTCCGCATCATCAGATACGGTTTTCCTTGCATCTCCGCACGGCACAAGTGGCAAAAAATGCGCATGCTCTCTGAAGGCATTTAAAAGCTGCCCTGCGCTCAAACCAGAGAGGAAATACTGGAACCATGAATGCTTAAACTTTTGTCTATATGAAGAAATGGATGGATGGACGGATGTTGCAATATCTATAAAACACATACACACATATATATTTATATATATATATATTTCCAGGGATCTGCTGTAACCACTCCTTAAGTTTTGGGGGTCACTGCCCCGAGTGCACCAATGAACACAGGCACCTTGACCTTCCTTGACCTTCCTTTCTCTCGCTCATTTCTGAGCCCTGGTATTCCTCTAGTTTCTCATGTTCCTTTTTCTTGATGTTGCAGTCACTTGGTATTGCTATGTAAATACCTGAGATTCTTCCTTGGATTTCTGCCACTGTGATGGTGACTGGATTATGTTCAGAGCCACCACTGTGCATCACTGTTGTGTGCTGCCTCCTTCTCCCATATGCCTTTCCAGTACTGTTAAGTTTCTAGCCTTGGTGGGGTTGTTCTGCTATTACCCCACTGAGCGCACATATTCGCTGGTTGAGTTGTCTCTCGTTTACCTCTTAAGGCAGCTGGCCAAGGCTTGGAGCATTTTTTGGCAGTTTCTAGTGCTTCAGGTATTGGCATCTGGCTGTACCTCTTGGGTACTTGCTTTTTCATTGCACCTTTTAGGGCCTCTGTCAATTGACTCACTTCTCTCCATGCTGCTTTGATATTAGCTCTAGCCTTCTTTTCCATGGTGGGTATTTCATCACGTTTGTTCTTACAGCCAAGCATCTCTAGTATCACTGCTGCTGCGCAGTATATCAGCTCATTGGTGTCGGTGATGGTTGATGTAGAAATTGCTTAAAGAGCTGCATTCATGTCTTCTAGTAGTTTTCTGATGGTACTTCACTTAGTTTCTTTAACTGGCTTTGCAGTTTGCCTGGTGGACATTTTTGCCATTATCTTATTTTTCAGGTCAGTTGCTAACTCGTTCAGCATGGTTGCGCTTATTGGGGCGTTACCTAATCTCTGGTGTGGGGTTTGGCCAGTTAGCCAGTTTTGTATCTCATCAATCTCAAGTTGTGAGGGCATTTATGGATGTTGGAACATTGAGCCACTAGTTGTTTTGCCGTAAGTGTGAACTGTGGGTTTCAAAGTGACCATTTCTCCCACATCCTTTGCATATAGCACCTGTGACTAGGGTTACTGGAGTAGTGGCATTCCAGCAGAGCTCGGTTATTGCATTCATTGCATTGTATCTCATTGTTGTATGAGGTAGGCGTTAGCGTGAAGGGTCTTACCTAAGGACACACATGAAGATGTAGACTCTTAAACTTGTCAACACACATTCCTGTATTTATTGTCCCTTTCAGCATTAGACATATCCAGTTATTAATTGCATACACTCACCCGGTCTTTCCACCCCATCAGATACCGTTCTGGTGGAAACAAATAGTCCTGTCTGATACTGTTCCCCCTGCTTTACATTGGGGGTACGCGGCTCGATGCAACACCGGTCAGGGATTATTTTACACGCTTATGTGATAAGGATGCAGAGTGGACTTTATATGCTTCTGCTTGTAAATGTAAACACTCAGTAAACTTCCCGGGTTAGCTCTTATTTAAGCATTCTTTGGGGTTCAACCAAAACCCTGTGTTCTGTTTCTTTCTCTCTCAACACTGAACGCCTGAATACACTAAAAATGGATACAGTGAGGAGAATAAGTACTTGAACACCCTCCCATTTTCAAGTTCTCCCACATAGAAATCCTGGAGGGGTCTGAAGGTTTCTTCATAGGTGCATGTCCACTGTGAGAGACATAATCTTAAAAAAAAGAATTCAGATATTAGAATACATGATTTTTTAACAATCTATTTGTATGATACAGCTGCAAATACATATTTGAACACCTGAGAAAACCAATGTTAATATTTAGTACAGTAGCCTTTGTTTGCAATTACAGAGATCAAATGGTTCTTGTAGTTTTTCACCAGGCTTGCACACACTGCAAAGAGGGATTTTGGCCCGTTCTCCACACAGATATCCTCTAGAACAGTCAGGTTTCTGGGCTGTTGCTTAGAAACAGGGAGTTTGAGCTCCATTCAAATTTTCTCTATTGGGTTTAGGTCTGGAGACTGGCTAGGCTGTGCCAGTACCTTGATATTCTTCCTACAGAGCCACTCCTTGGTAATCTGGCTATGTGCTTTGGATCATTGTCATGTCGGAAGAACCAGCCTTGACCCAGCTTGGTTCCCCCAAATCTCGCAATACATGGCCCAGGTCATCCCATCCCTAATACAGTGCAGTTGCCCTATCCTATATGTAGAAATTATGCTACCACCTCTATACTTCACATTAGGAATAGTGTTCTTGGGATGGTGCTCATCATTCTTCTTCCTCCAAACATGGTTAGACTTAGACAAACTTTATTGTAATTTGGTATACACAAAGAGCATACAAAACGAAATTATGATTCTAGAGCTTACCACAGTGAATAAGCAGCTTACAACACTGAAATGAACATTTCCATTTACAAAGTGCAGCAGTGATCAAGAATGTAAACACTGTAGGAGAAACAGGAAGCCCTTTTAAAAGTCATGGTGCAAAAGGCATTGATATGGAAAGGTTCAGTGTAGTGCAAAATAAATGAATATGGTGCAAAATGCAGTAGAACATTGAGTTGTGTTCTATTTAAAGGAATTATAAAGAAAATCAGCTACGTTGGTGTTGCAAGTGTGATGCAGAGTGTAGTTTAGAGTTTCAACAATTTAACACGCTGTTGCAGAACCTGCTAGACCTACAGCAGATGCTGAGAAGCATCTTCCCTGAGGGCACTCATATGTCATCAGAATAAACAGCAGGGGGCTTAGGAAGCAGCCCTGGGGGGAGCCTGTGCTTAGGGGGATGAGGTGTTCTGTCTGGATAGGACAGAACACCTCACACAGTGAGCTCCACAGTGAGATGTCGCTACTCTGACTTGTCTATCCGGAAGCCAAACCAGTAGAAGAGGAATATGAAGCTCACTAGAGTGAAATGCGCCGCCTTGGCAATTTGTGCAATTTTATGTGCTGAAAGCTCTAACAAAAAAAAAACCTTGTGCTCGAAGCACTCCGAAGCTACTTAAACAATGGAGAGTAGTTGTATTTACGGGTCCAGAAAAATACTTGATGACTGTAGCTCCAGCAGGAGCTGGTGGTCATAAACTAACTTACTGGATCGATGCATATTTTCTTGCATGCTAGACGGCATATTTGGAAGGAAATGCTTCCATGTTGTTGAGAGCTGTAAGCAGCTGCTGCCATTACGGAGATGCCACCTTGGATGCTTAAGTTGTGTTATCTTATCTTAGTGGAATTATGACCAAAACAGTTCTATTTTGTTTTTCACCTCCACTGGGGGAATTATTTCCTTGTTTACTTATTGAGAATATGTGCAACATAGTGACAACCTCTTGTTATGGTAGATATGCAAGTTTACTAACCCATCCATCCATTTTCTGTCACGCTTCTCCCAAGCTGGGTCGTGAGGGGTGCTGGTGCCTATCTCCAGCTATACTCGGGCGAGAGGTGGGGTACAGCCTGGACAGCTCGCCAGTCCATCGCAGGTTTACTAACAAGCTGATTTATAAAAAAAGTTTTAAACAGAGGAATAAATTATGAGGTGCTAACTAGATGAGCTAATTAATCAGAAAGTTTTTATTTGCTTCAAAAATGAGCTCCTACCATAGAAATTCATAAAGCCATAGCACATTACTGGGCCTCTTTGGGATGCATTGGATTGGAAATGCATTGGATGGCGGCTGTCCCTTTCTGCTTCTGTGGTGGCATGCTGCTCTGCTGGTTGTCTCTCTTACCTCCAAGCTTCCCTGTCAACATGACTCCCATCTCTTCACTCCCTTTTTGGCGCTGTGTTCTTTTCACGCATCACGTTCTGTCTTTAAACCTCTAACCCTTATTGCACTTTGGAGTGAAGACTTTAGATCCTACAGGTTTCACCCCCTCTATCTTTTTTCATTATTTGGCTTCATTCAGTCAAATAATGAGGTTTCGTCTGTTACCCCAAGCTAAACTATTACTGGTGTTTCAGATTTGGTTTTGTTTTTGGTTTTTTGTAATATCAGGAGAGGGCTTTAAATCTGTTAAATATTTTATTATCAACTTTCTTAGATTATCTTTTAAAACCAGATAAGTGAAACTAGAAACTATTTTTAGACAAAAAATGTATTTTGCTTAAAAACTAAATTTAGACCAATACATAAAAATTTAAATTCATATTTGAATTAAAACTAAAATTGGCTTAAAAGAAAAAAACAAGAGTTAAAATCTTATGGATGCTTATTTTTTCTTACAGAAATCTGGGGCCTTGTCAGGTATTCCCATCTCAGGGGTAAGTCATTTGTTTTCTGATAAATTTGTTTTCATGCTACATTAGAGACAGCAGTTGGAGTGTTTGTGTTTTATTTTTTTGTTTTATTTAACAGTGCCTCGGGGATCAGTCGGCAGCTCTCGTTGGTCAGATGTGTTTTCAAGACGGACAAGCAAAGAACACGTACGAGATTTCATTAGCAGTTCTGTTTTGATTTTTCTTTTCTTTAGAAATCCTGACGAACATGTCATTTTCAGGTATGGGACTGGCTGCTTTCTGTTGCGAAACACTGGATCAAAGGTATTTAACTTGTGTCTCAAATAAAAGATAAATCTACATCAGCACATTATATATCAGCCTGCAGTGACGCGTAACGTTTTCCAGCCTGTTATGTCCGATCACGGCCTGCTGACAACTGTCGCTTACAAACTGGGACGAGACAAACCAGCATGTTACGCCCTGGAGGTATGTGATCTCTAAACTTGTTTCTAAACCTGTAGTTGAGGAAGCTTGCATGAAAGATTGCATCAAAACCATTTTAATGTGATGAGGGATTATCTCTAAGAGGTAAACACTGAAACCAGACGCCACTCTTTCCAGAAGTAGCTTGTTCAAGTCCAAACACAACGCATTAGGAACATAGTTCCAGCTTTTAAACCGGCTGTTCTAACATGAAGGGGTCTGATTCTCTGGTCTCTCCTTGCAGGGATCTGTGGCCATTGCTGGAGCTGTGGTTCGCTGGCTTCAGGACAATCTTGGACTGATCGGCTCATCAGATGAGCTTGGTACGTCATCCGTCCATCTAGTCCAGTAGTATGCAGTACGTGGATCCATGCTTTGACCTTTTCTGCTGTTTGCCTCATGTTTGCAGAGAAGTTGGCTGCATCCGTTGGCACGTCCTACGGTTGTTACTTTGTTCCTGCATTTTCTGGCCTCTACGCTCCATACTGGGAGCCCAGTGCTAGGGGGTACCACCAGCAGCTACTTTCAGCAGTAATATGGTGCTGAAGCTGTCCTTATAACTCCAATCTCTGTTTCTTTGCTACAGGATTATTTGTGGATTAACTCAGTTTACTAATAAGAGCCACTTGGCGTTTGCTGCACTAGAAGCCGTCTGTTTCCAAACCCGAGAGGTGAGTCTAATCAGGAACGTCTCAAACGTTGGAACACGGGTGAATTGATGCACTCATCTGTATCTAAATGCAGATACTGGACGCCATGAATCAGGACAGCGGCATCCCTCTGACTCAGCTGCAGGTTGATGGAGGAATGACATCCAACAAGCTGCTGATGCAGCTGCAGGCAGACATCCTCTGCATCCCTGTCGGTGAGAGAAGTCTGATGAGGCAGATCAAGCAGGTTCAATTATCAGAAGGTTCAAAAGCTAGGAGCTTCACTGGGATTTTTACAAATGTTTAGACTTAGACAGATTTTATTTTGTCCTTTTGATCACACAAGTGTAAACAAAAAGAAATTTCGATAAGTACAGCTCTAAGCGCAAGTAAGCAGCAGTGATAAATACGTGATGAAAAAAAAAGTGAT